ATTAAGGATATTACCTTGATCCAGTCGTCTTCTTTTTGCTGATCTTGCTGTTGCATGGTCTTCTCTGAGTTTGTTTAGGCAATATGCAAACTCTTCGCTAATCCTGCCTTCTTTAAGTCTCCTGTTTATTAGATCTCTCTCGGTCACTATTTCGATAGAACCTCGGATCTTGCGTTTTCTTATATCTTCACCAAATGGTGCCAACCTTTCGGTCGATTTCCAGTCGATTTCGTGCCCCGTTTGTGCAATGTGTTCCGCTATTTCGGATCTTTTCGAATCCATGTTCCATGTACCACGTCCACTGTCCTACTCCGGAAATGATGATGCATACAATGGACTCCGGACTAGGTGCGTTCCTCTAAGTCTTTCTACCAATATGACCGAGTTGCGAAAACAAGGTCAAACAACTTCTTTACAACGAAAGGAGACTGCGACCACAGAAAAGTCCACACCATCTTGGTCTTCATACCTTCGAATAGACTTGTTTGATCGTCGAAGTAGTCCATTGAGCACGTCTATTTTTAGTAACTTCCCCTAGTCTCCGCTGGGTCTATCCTATTTATGTCCCTAATACCAGGCCTATGACTTGCTATTCCCTAGTCTCTTGTGTGCCAACCCACAACCGTTATGGTTCCACATCGAACCTATTCAAAGCAAGCATTACCACAACATTTTTGGGTTGGCACACAAGAGACTAGGGCATAGCAAGCCATGCACTTGGTAATATGGATAGAAAAAGGATAGACGCTGCGTAGACTGTTGCTAGTTGGCTAACAATTGGCCTGTTTTACTATAGAAGTAAAACATGTAGCAAAGATTTGACCATGATAATTACGCAGAGGATTTTGCCTTGATTTATTTAACCAGTATTCCGGGATTGGCTAATAACGCCTCGAGTGACACACATGGGGTGGCAGGGGTCGAGTGAAATACTTGAACCAGGGAGATAGCAGACGAATCCTACGGGGCAATAGGGAGACTCTGATAAGACCTAGGAAAGGAGGACTGCATAACAATATGGCAGACTGATCAACATTCCCAGCACAAGGGTAAAAGGGGGTGAGAACGCAAGAGTGGTGTGTGAAGGGTTCACATGAGAGCCCCTCAAATGAGCACACCACACTAGATTTAAATATGCAATGATAAATTGTAATAGTGAAGGCGTGATACGAGGAGATAGGAAAAATGAATAACCTAGGACAGAAGGAGAGATACCACAACTCACTTGGCTCTTTGACGAGTCGTAGTATGATGCTAAGAATGGTAAGACTCACTGATGATGCCGACTAAGATGCGATCGAAACGTCTGGGAATGTACCGCATCCACCGTCCGACTTCGGAAATTATCTTGCATACAATGGACTCCGGACTAGCTGCTTTTCTCTAAGTCTTCCTACCAAATGTACCAAGTTGCTCAATAAATAACTAATTTTACTTGATTGGTAGATTGAAGGATAGTGAGGGTGTTGATCTGCGACTCAAAAGTGGGCAAATCAGCTTGTCCGCTAAGTGATGTTAAAACTTCGCTTACATTCGTCCAAGATGTCAGAATAAGCTCATCAATTAAACCATACTTACGAGAGTACGCAACCATAGTCATGCCTTTCCTTAAGTGGTTAAACCTAAAAACCCTGAATGAGAGCTTAGGACAGGTAGTTTCGTAGCCTGACTTACACATTTACAAGTTTACATTGCATTATCTCAACCATATTTGTTCACGGACTTACGCAGTCTCGGTCAGGGCTATTTCAGTCATTAAGCCTTAATGACCTGACAGCCTTTATTTGATCACTTACATTTATCTTATCTTAACACATATCTTAACACAATCTCATATATTCCATATAGGTTTAAGCGCAGATTTTTGTAGTTTTTGGGTGTATTGAGGCAGATTTGTGGTGCCGCTGGCCGACTCTAACTTACGGCAATTACTATTAATTCTCGAAAAGTACGGCTTCGCTTATATTAGGTTTAATTTCCCTATTTTGGCAAGGATCACGCATGGGCAAAATCAAAAGCCTCAGGGTAAAATTCAGAGTATAAATCTATGATTGGGCTTCAGGAAAATAATATTTTATGTATCTACCTCAACACAGGAGCACTTAAGAGTGCACCTACCATAAACATAGTCTTTCACCACCTTAAACGAAATAGGGTGAATACATCTTATATAAACATAGTAATTCATAGTGCATCTAAAGGAAACTTTTACTGTCCTCTAATTTTTTGTATTTCCAGTCAGGCAGTGACCCCCCTGAAAATTTTGCATATGCACTTTGCGTAAACAAAAGAATAGGATGATCTCAATACATAGTTGATATGGATCTAAATAGTTATCCAGTTGTATATTTATTTACTCATTCATTTATGCAACTGAATACAGGCGAGCCGAGGAGCATAGCCCCTGGGTAACGGAATCCAGAAATAAGAGTTATAGTCGCCCCAGGTCTCATAAGGTAATGAAAGAAGGATAGGGAAATTTTTTGTAAAGTCGATATTACTAAGCCTTGCTTCCCGAAATGTATTCGCATACAGGATATACTGCAGCTTCGACCTCACTTGATTCTCGTAAACACCCCCAGCCGGAAACGAACCCAAGTTGTGGGTGCATAAGTTAGAAATGTTACCACTATTGCACACTGCTACTAGTGCAAACCTAGAGTGCATAAAAATCTTATTCAAAATATACTGATAGTCATTAAGCTTACTTATTATGAATATAAGTATCAAGGAAATCTGAAATGGATTCGCCATTGATAATTATGCGCAGATTCCATGTCTTTCACTTTTAGCTAGCCAAACAAATTTGACATTTTCCAACTTAGGCAAGGATGCCTTTTACATTTAGAAGTAGGCTTTCGAGATTACCAGTAAATCAGTTATATGAGATGCATTCATCCAATTTCGTTTAAGTTGATGAAAGACTGGTAGTTGAATTTTCCCACAATGATATGAGTATAACTGACG